GACAATGGTTTGACATGAAAATCTTTTGCCAAGTCGTGTTTGTCAGTCACACTCGTCGCGAAGTTCAGAAAAAGTGGGCGGAGAAACTTCACGAGCACAACCTCCAAAAGTTTTTTATGATGTCCCGGGGTCGAGCACTTGAGTTTGTCACGTTTCTGTAGTATTTGCGCGGCGTTGTCAACGGCAGCCTTCAGTGGCTGATTCATCTTTCTCGCTCTTGCGAGGAAAACTTCCGCGTAATTCTTTAGAGAATTTAGAACCATTACGAGCTCAGTTGACGGATACAGGAGTACACCTGGGTGGATATCTCCACATTCAATCAGAACATGCTCCGCCGTTTCCTTATCTTTCCCGCAGCATGTGCATTTTTCTTCTTCTTTACTGAATCTTGCTTTATAACTACGCGTTCTAAGGCAACCCGATCTCGCTTCAAACAGTAAAGCGCTTCCCCTTGAATTATCGTAAAATGCCTCCCTCCTTATTTCATTTTTGCCCTTTCGGTAGTTACTCAAAGCCGGTTTTTTCTCCATAGCTGCCATCCATTCTCTCGTTTTGCGCCTCGGCGCTCCGCCAGGAGCGCTCGCATCCCATAATAGCTCGGGGGACGGCGCTGAGGGACCGACCGCTCGGGCACAAAGTTATAGAGGAGGCTATGTACAAATACGCCACACAGGCCACACACTTCGCGAGCGCCTCTCAGTCACGTCGTCTTCTTCCTTCACAATCTACCAAAAGGGCACGTGCATTTCTAACAGGGGTATGTTGTGTGGGTTGTAAAAGCTAAGCAGACCGAGCTTGCACCTCAAGTGCGGTTCACCCACATTGCTCAATTCTTGCTGAACTCGCCACTTCGCCCTTATAGAAGACTCCAACCACTCGGCCAGTCGTATAGTAAAGTGCGATGCTCGCATTTTCATCATCATCATCATCATCCTGACTACGTCCACTGCAGAACAAAGGTCTCTCCCATGTTCCGCCAGTTAACCCGGTCCTGTGCTTGCTGCTGCCAATTCATACCCGCAAACTTCTTAATCTCATCTGCCCAACTAACCTTCTGTCTCCCCCTAACCCGCTTTCCTTCTCCGGGAATCCAGTTAGTTACCCTTAACGACCAGTGGTTTCCTGTCTACGCGCTACATGCCCGGCTCATGTCCATGTCTTCTTCTTGATTTCAGCTAACATATCCTTAACCCCCGTTTGTTCCCTAATCCACTCTGCTCTCTTCTTGTCTCTCAAGGTTAAACCTACCAATTTTCTTTCCATTGCTCGCTGCGTCGTCCTCAATTTAAGCTGAACCCTCTTTGTAAGTCTCCAGGTTTCTGCTCCGTAGCTAAGTACCGGCAAGATACAGCTGTTATATACCTTTCTCTTGAAGGATAGTGGCAATTTACCTGTCATAATTTGAAAGTGTTTGCCAAATGTGCTCCACCCTATTCTTATTCTTCTAGTTACTTCAATCTCGTGGTTCGGCTCCGCGGTTATTACCTGCCCTAAGTAGACATAGTCTTTTACAACTTGAAGTGCACTATTACCTATCTCGAAGCGCTGCTCTTTTCCGAGGTTGTTGTACATTACTTTCGTTTTCTGCAGATTAATTTTAAGACCGCAATTTTAAGAGCGCACTTTACTACCTAATTAGTATTCGGGTGACTGCATAATAGCCCGCAAGGCGCTACTTGGGCAATAATGCGACCGCTGCAATCTGTCTCGAAATCTAATCAAACTGAATTATGACTCATTTCTTTCGAGAAGGCAAACGGCCATAGGTTATTTCCACGCGAATATTATTGCGTAAATACAACCCGCCAACATGTGTCGCAATTTCTAATCGCAGCTTATAAAGACTAAACTGGGATTGTTTGAAGAGGCTTGTTCTTTGGCTAGATGGCCGCGTTTTGTGCGTGCCATTTGTGTTCTTTTTTTCAAAAGTGTCTGACATTATATTGCACAAACGTACAGCATATCTGAAATTTATATATGTGCCGGCACAGTACAGCCCCTACTGTAGCCGTTCCTTATTAGAGCCCGGGCTTTTACGGTCACTCTATGTATTAATTTGCGCATCTTTTTCTGAAATTTGGGGCAAAACAGAACACAAAAGAGATACGAGCACCTTCTTTTCCTGTGATTGCCTAGTGCCCTGCTGCAGCGAATATTTCGTGAAGAAGCAAAAGCCTATAGATAAATTCCGCCGTTAAGTTTTTTGTGTCTTTTAGACAGTTACTGAAATAAAGTACGCAAATACGGTACAATATGGTACCACTCCTTTGTAGGGGTCGTTATGCTTTTGCCATTGATGGCACCTTAACACCATAAGAGTTTTTCACAGAACCACTGCGGCATGCTGGCCGGTAAGCATATGCTCATTGCTGCTGAGGAGCCTCTAGTTTGGGGAACACACTGCCACTGGAAATTGGAGTGACGAAATCACAACGAGCGGGAAAGGTAAAGCGCTAGCGTACTGCCTTACTGTATTGGCGTACCGCATTTCCGTAACTTCATAAAAGACTTCATTAGAGCACTTACACTCTGGTGAACTATATTCGGCTTAATACGGCTATTTTTAAACAGCAGCTTTTATATGCTAACCTTTTAATGGTCGAGCTCAATCCAGCGTAAGGCGTGACCACCCTAACTGCGCGTCTTCTCCCGCTCTCTCTTCTTTTCTACGCATCCCCCTCTTCCTTTCCAACACGCCGACGCAGATAGCGTCTGCTAGCTAGAGCCCACTCCACCCACTCTCTCCCTAGGCATCTCCACGTAGCGCTTACACGCCCATTGCGCATACGCACTCCCTGCACCTCCTCTCCTACGTTTCCGCCATTTGTCACCTCGCAACGGCGACGCACGCAGCATCTGCTAGTCAGTTAGTTTCTTGATTGAAAACACCGACTGCTCACGCTCCACAACCATCACTGTCCACCCCGTATATGTATATATATATATATATATATATATATGGGGGTGAGGGGTCACAGAGCCCGTGGGAAGCGGGAAATTGGGCGGCTTGGCGGAGGGTAAAGTTGCATCGTCGGGACAATGTCTTTCCCGAGCTAGGATGTCAAGAGGTGCACTGTCGAGTTGGTTGGTCGCAGAGCTCTTATCCGTGATAGAGCCTAGGTTGGAGACAAGGAAAAGCTGGCGACGCATATCATCGATTTCCACTGTACGTGGGATTTGCCCAGTTTTTTCTGTCGGGGGCCGATAAACCGTTGTACCAGGTAAACCCGCTTTGGTAAATTAGTCTTAGAAAAATTGATAGATTTACACTTAGCCAAAAGGCACTTACTCTACCACTGGCATGCCTTCAGTGTCCCTTTACTTAGTGTTTGTGCAACAATCGATGTATCCAGCATAAAGCTACAACTTCGTATGATGATAATGTTGATGATGATTTGTGTCTTTGCCCTTTGTAACGGGTCAACACAAAAGTCGTGTTCCAGGCTAGGTGTATAAAAAGAAAAGAAGAAAGAAAAGAAGAAAAAAAAAGATCGAAAGCACTAAGGAGAGTTCACTTTTGGCACCACTTCCACCACTGTTGGGGCCTTGTCTGTGCGGTGGAATAATTTCAACTATTCGCATCTTGTGTGTAATCTTAATAGAGCGATCTACAATAATTGTGAACTTTCTCAAACAATGAGGCGCAGTTTTCGCTAAGCATTCCAGACAGGCTTTGTGGGCGAAACCCGAATGAAACATAAGTAAAAATAAGCAACTCACTAGGTAATATACACTCAGTTCTTTTGTACGAACTATTGAACTTCTAATCACTCTTTATCACTTAATAATATATTCATTGGAGTTTAACACCCCAAAACCATTATATGTATCTATCTATCTATCTATCTATCTATTTATCTATCTGTCTATCTGTCTGTCTGTCTGTCTGTCTGTCTGTCTGTCTGTCTGTCTGTCTGTCTGTCTGTCTGTCTGTCTATACAATATCAATGAGCTGTTGGGAATTCCTCCTATTAGGCAAAAACTGTTATAGGTTAACAAGCTGTATATGGTGAGACAGGGCGCTAAACAAAACGCTCGTGTCTGTGCGCATACGCACTTCTGCCCCTCCTCTCCTACGCTCCCGCCATATGTCACCTCACAACGGCGACGCCGCAGCGTCTGCTAGTGAGTTTCTTGATTGAAAACACCGACTGCTCGCTCTGCACAACCGTCCACTGCCCACCCCGTATATATATATATATATATATATATATATATATATATATATATATATATATATATATATATATATATATATATATATATATATATTGCACTGTGTCTTTACGTTCAAGATAATGCTGGTGGAAGATTTCTCCTGTGAGTTGCTGAAAATGAAAATTCGCAGCTTGCACATGAACCACAAGTGTACTCCGGGTCTCTGTGTCCAATTGGAGTCTTCTGTCTCTCATTACGCACAGTGATTGACATGTTCTAGTAGAAAACACCGGTCCATCCCTGCGGGGCGTCTGCCTAGGTCTCCCTCCTCGGCAACGTCGCGATGAGTGCCAGCATCAACACTACCACCAGTATGAAATGAACGCCCGCTTTTTCATATCTACACATGGGTCCCTTTAGCGGGAGATGGTGATACTTTTCCCCTGTTTCCTCTTATGAATAAAACTAAACTTTCATTTCAAAAGGCCCACGATGTGGTTCTCTGGCTCGGCCTACTCATCCTCACCTGAAAGCAGCCCACGACGTTGTCTTAGGCAGCCTCCTTGAACGATGTTGTCCGAGGTATAGCGCATTCAGGACGGGACAGAGAAGAAGACACAGAACACAGCCCACCGTGCAACCTTAGTCGACTGCATTTCTTGAACGATGTTTCTCGATAGAGATGTCTGCTTTTAGATTTAGTTCAAACGAAATTTCGCTTAACCAATGCATGATAGGCACAGACCGTAACACCATGCCGTGCTTGTACACTTTGCGCATTTGATTCTGTTTCAGCATCATGTGAAGCTCCTAACCTTGTTGATCTCTTTTCTGTGGCCTAGCTCTTGACCCAGCCGGACCTCTCTTCGAAGGCACTAATGTGTCCGTGTCCAGAGGTGATGCTGACTTCGTGGACGTAATTCACACTAACATGGGCCAATTGGAACACCTTCAGTTTGGTCTCGCTGCTTCAGTGGGTGACGTTGATTTCTTCCCTAACGGAGGATCGGAGCAGCCAGGATGTCATCGTATCGGTGAGCAACAGCCGACACTATTTTGGCGAAAATCAGCCAAGCCCATGCCTCACAGGTTAAAACGGCAAGAATCAACGTAATAATAATGATAAATCTCGTAAATAATGCAGCCGTTTCACTGCATTTGTACAGTACCACTCTTGTTCTCTGTACGGCGAGTTCAAAATGTAGCTGTTGTTCTCAAAGTGAAAATTTTTACCTTTAGTTGTATTGTGTCACTTGTCTACTCAGGGTTGTACAGCAATTTCGAATTTATTGTCAAGTGTATTTATTTAAATGTAATATACCTCAAAATGGTACCCTTTCATAACATTTGTATAAAGATTCTAATCACACTAACTGCCCCAGTGCTCCCAACATGTACTAAAATACTTATGTAACAGATCGGATTATACCACACAGGCTAATGGTCACAGGGTAGCCACACAGGCTAATGGTCCACATACTTTTGACACCATTTTTTAGGAAGTTGGCTGAATAAACATTGCGTGATAGATCGGAAAATATAGGCTGCTGCCTTTGCATCAACGCTCAGAAAAACTAGCCACTACTCGGTAAACACAGCTGTACAAAATTCGTGTACATGCATTCACATTGAATAACAATGAATTCTATAATCACACCCAAATAATCAAAATACCAAACATTCGAAAATCTAGGAGAGAAATTTCGCTAATAACGTGAACATAAAACAAGTCAGGCTACACTTAGCAGCACATGGAGTCTGACCGAATGGGACAGATACGAAGAAGCAAACGCAATCATGGGAAGCGGGCGAAACCAAGATCGAAGAAACGAGAGAAAGTGATGCGCGCACACACACACACACACACACAGACACACACACACACAAACAAAACACATACACACACACACGCACACGCACACACACAGACACACACACACACATTATGCGGCGGGAAAGGGTCCGCACCAACTAAACGTTGAAATAGAAACAGAAGTGACGTGTAGGCCCTGCTACGGAGGCCTTGCCTCTTTTGCTATGATCGATCAATGCTTACTATTTCCCGCCATGAATTGTTTCTCGACCAGAGGGACTTCCTTCGAACCCTGGACTTCACATACAATCGCCATCACTCTTGTCCGTTCTTCTATATGCCCACATAAGCAACAATACCTGTTCTAACGATCATTCTACCTTTAGTTGCGCAAGCCTGGATCCATTTTTGTCTCTGTAAACTTTTTTTCTACTAAACTCCTGTACCATCATCGACTTCTTTTTTCCTCCGATAGTATCCAATCCGTTCCTCTAACTCACAAACCTACATTAACGAGCAGCGAAAGACGGCAGTGGAGCTCAATCTGAGTTATGCAAATGGTTCCTGGGGAACGTAACAAAATCAAGAGTGTTCGACGAAATATTACTACGATAGCATCTTCAAGCGGAGTCTCTAGAAATTGGAGGATCGGGATGTTTACAACACGTCAAAGACTATGTTTTTCGAAGGTCGCTATTAGTGGCTTTCACTTTTTCTGGCGAGACAAGGTCGTGAAGGTCGCTACTGAAAAGTTCAGCGTAGACGTGCGCGAAACACTTCTGACGCTGCCAGAACTTGAACGATGTTTCTGTGAAATGACACCAGTTCCTGTTGTAAATAGAATTGGTAGCATTTTTACGTGCTTATAGTGCCGCCGTACACATATGCAACAAGAATACGTTCTCTCACGACAAATAACCACCAAGGCTTTCTTACACAAAATATCCCAAAAACTGTGACCACTTCTTCGCCTAGCCATCCCTGACTTAGCTGTGTCCGGGAAAGAGGGCAGCTTGGGCATTCAGCACATGTTGGTTGTTCTCAATGCAAATCATTTCTTAGCAAACTTCAGCCTTTTTGAGCGTATCTACCTATCTTTCTATCCATCTATCTAATCTATCTATCTATCTATCTATCTATCTATCTATCTCTCTATCTATTTATCTTGCCGCCTATGACTTTTAGCTCTCCTGGCCGCTTGGATAATGGTATCAATACCAAACTTGGTATGGCACACCATGACTCTATTACAAGCATATTTGACTAGTCATACCATGAAAATCAAGATATGCATGTCATGAAACTCATGATTCTATTGGTCCTGCTGCTCTTGCGGTGGCTTCGTTCACATGGCATGTTGCAAAACTTGTAAGGTATGAGATGATTGCATACTAAACACAAGCGACAGACCCTGACATGAAAATTATGGCATGCTTGTTATGTAACAACATGACTACAAGCCACGCTCATGATGCGCTCACGGCCGTTTCGCTAGCGTCACATGTACAAAGTTTGGTAGTATGTTACGTGAATTAATAACGAAGGTATGTGACTGGTGTCAACATGATAATCATGAGATGCGTGTCATGTAACAACATGACTAAATGCCATGCTCATGATGCGCTGGCGGCCGTTTCGCTAGCTTCACATATGCCAAATTTGGTATTACGTGACGTCAAGAGATGACAAAGGTATGCGACTGGTGCAAACATGATAATCATGAGATGCGTGTGATGTTACAACATGACTACATGCCACATAGAAAGTGCCAATACATTTCGACGTGACTGGACGCGCGTGCGCACCGGCGTTCGTTTCGTTGGGTCACGCCACCAGCGTTGCCACGCAAGGCGCCGGTCCTGCCATATACCCGCAGGCGCGCGCCGCTCTGCATTGCTTTGACGCATGCGTGTTTCAGCGCGTACGACGTCCCACCATCACGAGAACAGGGAGAGACGCAATGTTGTCTGGGTAGCGCATCGGCACGAAAGGCAGCATATCGCATTTGGCGCCGGTTGCCATTGGGCCGCGCAGATGAACACTGGTCGCACCTGGCGTGAGACTATAGAGTTCTCGTGTTTTGCTAGCGTATACATAGCGTCGCTGCGCTCTGCGTGCGTGCACGTCAACGGCACGTTGGAGTGTATTGGGCCTTTCATTGGGCCTTTCGCTGCTGTTTCGCCAGCGCCACATATACCAAATTTGGTGTTACGTGACGTCAATAGATGACGAAGGTATATGACCTGTGCAGACATGATAATCACGACACTTGTGTCATGCCAGAACATGACAACACACCACGTTTATAGCGTGTTCGCGGCTGATTTGCTAGCTTCACATATACTGAATTTAGCATCACGTGACGTTAAAAGATGACAAAGGTAAACGACACATCCAAACATGATAATCATGACATGGAAGTCGTGCACGGCATAATTTACCTCCACCTCGTAGAGTTGTGGTGATTTTAAAGTGACAGATCAACCTTCCCTATTCGTGTTTCTGATATCATCGATTCCCACTGTAAGTGGTATCTGCCAATTTTTTCACTATCATGACACCCCGGCAGCAGCAGCACGTCTCTTTGTCCAACATTTATTACCCAGTTTGGTGCGGTGTTTTTCATGTCGTCTCTTTTTGCCTGTGATTGCGCGAGTGTCTCATAGGCCAAATCACTTCCGTAGTAGTTAGCTTACTGGCTCTGTTTCTCCCATTCAGCTTGCAGCCACCAAAGGGCGCATGAATTGATGATCGAATCTATAACGAACCAACACTGCATGTTCACGTCACAACCTGTCAACAGCCAACGAGATCTAATTGCAAAGAAAATCAACTTGAGCTCGAAGTCACTGCACGAAAGTGGCTCGACCGGCCAAGGAGCCATGGGATACTACAGCATCAGCGCCAAAGGACGTGGAATCCAGTACATCAGGACTAGAAGCAAACCACCATTTTGCATTCGGGAGTAAGAAAAAATAAAAACACATTTCATAACTTGGCATCAATCCACATCTCTAATTATTTGGATAATACTTATTGAAAGACTCATGTTCTGCGGCGTCCTCTGCTTCGTTGCACTTTCTATTTCCTAATTTTATATTATTTGCTTTATACGTCACTGGAAGAGAGCCACTACGTGCTTAACCACGATTCTTGAATGCCATAGTACTCATTTGCCTCTGTCTCTAGCCGCAAGTTGCCAGATTGACACAGTTTTAACGCGAAAGCGTTAAAGTGCTCGTTTCGCGGAAGTTTTGGTGTCAGCGTCGGCGTCGTTTGTTGTGAGCAAAAAATCATCGCCTTATGCGTGACCAAGTAATTAAAAATGATGCAAATGAATTAAACAAATGATAAAAAACTAGGGCTGTTTGAGTGTGAGTGGGGTTTGAACCTGGGTCATTTGCGTGGCAAGCGGATGTTCTACCAACGCCTAAGCTTGTGAAAACAGTGAAAAGAACTTACTCTGCTTGAGAATTCAGTGAAAGTAGCTTTCATGCTTTACAAGCACATGCGTCCTGTATACTTGCTTTACAATGCGACATGAAATATTGCAGTAACAATGCTTGGTACAAGCTTCCATTGCCAATGGGCGTCAGAATATGTTCATATTATAATGGCTTCATAGTTGAAAGGTGGTGCGCCACTACAAAAGGTGCACGCGCTAATGAGCCTAATGTAAAGTGAAAAAAGAAAAGTGGACGAAAAGACAACTTCCACCAGCCAGTACTGCACTATGTGTGTCGACGTCTTTTTGACACATCCCTCATTGAAATGCCGCCGTGATCGAACCCACAACTTCAAACTTGGCTTTAACTCTCCATTTGTGGCAGCCGTTTACCCAAGTAGCCAGACTACAGCGAGCTTCTCTATTTCGGTCTGTGGTGACTCTTGCATCAGTTTCTGTTCTTATGTTTTATTCAGCATAGTTTAGACCTCTAAATCCCTGTTCGATTCCGAGGTGTGCACGTTATGACAAAAGATACGAAATCAGGTGACTGCGCAAGCATACAGCTAGCGTCACAGCACAGCGAACACAATGATCTCTGCCATGAATACGCACAAAATACCGAACGTCTTTCGGCCACAGAAGTAAACTTTCTAAAGCACGACGTCGGCCATAAGATATCATCGTCTGCTTCATTTCAAGTGAAAGCCTTATATGGCTCACCAAAAAGGAAATATGGCGACCGGCGGCGTGTACGGACGTGGCGCGAAATGGCGGGCCGATCCAGGCGGTACTGCAACACTGGGTGAGAGTGAATTGGGACGAATCATGGGACATGTGAATTAAAATATTAAGGGTACGAAGGTAATTAAATGGCAAATTACTGGAAATTAGGTGTTGAAGAGAATTAAAGTTGAACCAAATGTCCATTATTATCGAATAAAATCTGCCGCAACTGTATTCCCCAAATGAGAACTTTAGGCACAATGATGCTGTCAAACACAGCTAGACTAGTAGTGAAGCATTGCCTTTGTGATGTCACAACTGCAAAAGCATTAGCGGCTCTGACTAACGAATATGTCCTATGTTACACACGTATTCTTGAAGAAGTTTGGTGTAAGGTTTGTAATTCACAATTACACCTATACACACAATTTAATAGTGCACAGTACCATTCAAATGATAGTGATGTTCGTATGTAAAAATAAATGTGGGATACACAGAAACTATAGAATTTATGCGAAATTGCTGCCATCTGTCGGCCGCCATGTGCACACCGTCATGAGGGGGGGGGGGGGCTAACCACCACGCATTACGCAGGGTCTGCGTGTGTTTGCGTATACGTAAGACGTATCGACGTGTGGTGTATATACGCAAATAACCGCAGTGTCGTCGTATTGCTACGCCCCTTGCTTCACACAGAAAGGAATACGAACTGCTTAACCCTTTACAGCCGAGTGTCACAAATTCGCGACATACCAAAAAACTTCAAGCAAGCAAGCCACGAAATTCATGCCACCTTTAATGCCAGCTGTCAAGTCCTCAAGGGGAATGTAGATTTCAGCATACAAAATCTAGCGCTGTCTCGAGTAAAGTAATCTATGCTAGAAGCAAGTCTTGTGTAGCTGATGGTAGAAAGCTTGAAGCATGTGCAACAGCTCTCACTTTTTCATTCTTTCCCGCCGGAGTAACGTAAGTTCCATCTTCATTATTGTTGTTCATTTCGTGTGTGCACATCCAAGATGAGCCACATGACACACTACGTAGTTTTAAAACACGTTTTTTGTTCCAAGGTCCTCGCTTCTTTGATATATGAAGAATTCGCGACATACTTAAATGTATGCAATAAATTTGTGTTTTTGATAATTTACTTCAGAATCAAATAAAGGTTGTTCTTTAAAGTCGTGAAATTAAAAGAATTTTTATTTCTTTTGGCTCTTTGTTATTTCAGGCAATAAAAAGTTAAATTAAAAAAATTGCCCGCAGCTTCCCTCAAGGGAACACTGAGGAGGATGCGGAGCATATAATTGGTTAACGGGGTGTTAAAGTGCGACTTACTTGAGTCGATGGCTAAATTGGTTAACGTGGTTGTGAAATGGGGTGTTAAATTGCGACTTACTTGGGTCGATGGCTAAATTGGTTAACGTGGTTGTAGGAGGGGGTGTTAAATGAGTGAACACGTACACACGTATGCGAAAGGGCGGCGCTGGTCGAAGGGACGTCGATCATTGTGTTTGTGGATTCGTTGGAATTCATTTCATTGCGACCTTGGACGTCGACGCGCCGTACAAACCAACCGACGAGCGGCAACTGAGCGAGCGAGCGCCGACCTTGAGTATATATACAGCGCGACGGCGCATGCACTGTCAGCTGTTGAATGTTCTCGAAGCGCGACGCCACATGCGCATCCACTGGAGAATCAGGAGAATTGTAGATGTCGAACGCGGTGTGTAGAGGAGGAAGGGTGCACAGATGGTGGAGGAGTGAAGCGCGCGCGGTGTGTAGAGGAGGAAGGGATGCACAGATGGTGGAAGAGTGGGTGACGGCGCGACGGCGCATGCGCGCGCGTCAGCTGTCGAATGTTCGAGAAGCGGTGCGGACGGCGCGGACGGCGCACTACAAGGCGCGAGTATAAGATGCTTCCGCATCTAAAAGGTATAATCCGTAAACATTGCTTATATTTTCAAGCTGACGACGTTTCCAGATTGTGCTCCGGCTACTGCTCCCGGCAGACGTCCTTACGTTAATTTTTCTAAGCAAATAAGACGTGCAATGGCATTTGTGTTCGGTTTCCCACGAATTACATGCATGCCTAATAAAGCAGTTTTTGCAATGTTTTCGCTAGCAGCTGTTTACGAAGTGAGGTCGACTCGTATGGTTTACGCAGACGCGACCTTCACGCAACAGGCTTATGGCGGATTATGGCTGCTACGGGCTTATGGCTGCATTTCGTTGCATGAGGCGAGCGCATCAAATGCTTGAAAAACGTGTGCAGTCATGCACAAGTCATCCAACTGAATGGTTGCTTGTAACATTTCAGAAGAGAGAACGAAACAGCACAAAACAAGGACGCTTCTGCGTCGTTGCTCTTTCTCAGAATGAACCGATGACGCGCACTTGCTTCCAATTCAGCGTGTGTCATTACCCAAGTGTAAGACACATTGAATAAAATGTATACATACGCAATTAGCTGTGATAAAGTTCGTAACATGAAGGGGACTTCTGCGTGAAATGTACGAGTTGCCGTAATTTGGTAAACGGTTGTTAGCGAAAACGTTCCAAAAGCTGCCTTGCTTTGGCGTGCAGCAGTTTATGAGAACATGAATACAAATACTATTGCACACATTATTTACATATAAAGGAGAATTCAAACACGTATTTTGATAGCAGTAGCCGGAGCTCTTGCTCGCAATTCCATCAGCTTGAAAAAACAAGGGACAAAGCTTAGGGCTTAACTTTTTTCTTTGAGCATTCCGAGTTCCTCTTTGTGTGCTGCAAGAGACGCGGCAATACGTCGGCATTGTGATTATCAGCCAATACATGACCTACGTCGATACGCCTTGCATATACCTCTACGCAAACACATGCGAACCTGTGCGTACTGCACCGCGTGGAGTCTCTAACTATGCACACAACGGCCGACAGATGGCAGCGACTCTGCATAAGGTCTATAGTGAATGGTTAGGCTCCAACATTCGTCCGTGACAAAAAGAATGTGATAAAATTTTCCGTATTTTGCGGTAGAAACCACAGTATGGTTCAAACGTGCAATAGTGAAGGATCTCGGCAATCTTGATCAGTTGCGGTACACGGTCCTCCAGCATTTTGCCCTAATTGGAGTGCACCCACTTTGGCCAGAATTGAACATGCGACTTCTGGTTGAGAATCTAAGCCTTATAACCAGTGTGCCACTACAGCGAATACCATCAAATATAACTCCAGCAGGACATCTAATTACCAGTGCAAAAATTAGGACGACTGGACAGCATAGTAATAGGAGACTTCAATGCAAAGCAGAAGAAAATAAGTTGACGGCAGATCCACGAGGAGAATGATGATGAGATTGGGCGAAGCTCCTGGAAGCAATACCATGAAATTTTCTTCTGTTAATTCGCCTGGCGATATGCGCGCTTCTTCGCCGCTTCACATTGTCGAACGTTTTCAAGATCTGCTTGCCCGTCAAATGCACGTTGAAGTGCTGTCTCAGCCTCTCATTCCCGTACGGAAGGATCTTGCCGACGCTGGCGTGCCGTTGAAGCTTCTTGTTCACGTACGGCGGGATCTTGCCGGCGCTGCCTTGTTGATGTGGCTTCTTGTTCCCGTACAGCAGGATCTTGGTGGCGACAACGCGCAGCTTCCCGCGCGCTGCTGCCGCACGTGCTCTCATTTCAGGGTCCTGCCTGCGAGCGCGCGCCACCACTGCCCTGCGCGCCCACCTTTCGGCATCCTTATTCATACGAGCACACACCGATGGAAACGAGCATTGGCAACTACAAACCTGTATCGATATGGTTTTGGTTATAAAACCATTGCTTTAGAAAACACACGGCGCCTTT